TGTCACAACTAGAAATTTTGTGCCTTGTAACTACAACACTTAAGTAAAAATTTTGAATCAAAAACTTAAGAGCATGTAAGATGCTTACTTTATGACAGCAAAATTTCAATCAAATACACCATACAAGCATTACAAATAGTCAACAAGTAATTGGAAACCCTAGAAGTTCTTGTTTAGGTCCATTTTGGACTAGGACTTCCTTATTGGGCCCAATGGACCAATAAGCTTCCAATTTGACTATCTTGGGCTTAGAATCCTTAAATGGGCTCTAATTGGACCCACTTCCATCTATTTCAACATTTTGGGCCATATTGGGCCTAGAATGAAATAAATTAAATATTATGAACCATTATGGACCATAATTAACCTAAACTAGCCTATTAAAGTATAAAAATCACACTTATATTTTATAGGGCCAACAATCATTCAACCTAACTCTAATATGGGCTTAGGGGCAATAAAGCCCAAAAATCTCCTTTTTCCTCTCCAAATCTCGGCCCAAGCCCAAACCCAAGGGATGAAGAGTTGACTTGTGAGATTGCCACCTCATTTATACATCCCATACCTCCATGCATGGACCAACATGCATCTAGGTTAGTCATCTCAACTCTCTCTCTCTTCTTCTTCTTGATTCTCGGCCGAAGCTCCCAAACACACACACTTCATCCACTTTTGTGTAGCAAACTCTCTCAAGGAACACCCTCACCTTTCTTCATCAAATTTTCAGACTTAAGAGCTTTTCAAAGAGATTTTCCACAAGAATCATCATCTAAGGTAAGTTTATACTTAAATCTATGATCTAGGTTCCATGTTATATCAAACATCTCATCTTAACTCATGTAAATTTATGGACTAACTCCCTAGAACCATCTAAGTTCGAAAACCTCCTCAAGAAGTTGCTAGAGTCGAAAACAACATCAAACTTCTTCCAAACTCCTTCAAAACCGAAACCCAACTCAAGGTGAGCTTCATACCTCCTATTTTTCGGTTTTATAAGTTTTTTTTTTAGGGGGGGGGAATACAAGCAAATGCGTAGATCTATGTGTATATGTATGCTTTGTGTGTTTATATTTATGTTCTTATGTGATTGTGGTGTTGGATCTAGTCAAAAAGTCCTTAAAACCGAGATTTACATTAGGTTGTATGAAATTAGTATAAATGATATTATTACATACAAATCATTTCTAGAAAAATAACCAAGTGGTTAATATGAACCTCTTTGGACTAAAAACCCATTTTGGACTCAAAATGTTAAAAATATAAAATTAAAGGGCCCAAAATGACAAAATATGAATTCTGATGGTTGAGATGGGACAAAACAGTTTCAACAAAGTATTTTCTGGAAATATACTCTTTTGAAGGATTAAAATGTAAAATTTTAAGCATAATGGGCCAAAAATGAACTTTTCGGCCCAATAAAGCCCAAATTGCGAGATTTTCAAAATTGAGGGGCTGAAACTGTACTTTTCTGTAAAACAGGGTACTACTGGTGCTCCAAGTCCATTTCAAGGGTTAAAAATGCTTTTCATATATAAAAAGGACCAAAGATGCAAAAATTTTCTATTGTGGGCCAAAAGTGTAAAAATTGCGAAAAATGAGGTTTCAGCCGAGAAAACTTCATTTTGAGGGACTAAAACTATTTTTCAAATAAATTTAAGCTGAAAAATACCTTTACAACAAGTTTTGATACTAAAGTGTCAAGAAAAATGGTTTAAGGACTAAAATGGAAATTCTATTATACAAAGGGCCAATATTGTAATTTATCCAAAAGAAAGGGGTTGCCGAAATCTGTTATGATAAAATACTAGTACCACGACTACCGGCGAAATATAATACACCTTCAACACCAAAATCATTATCAAACTAACTGATTTGGTCTCGAATCAACAACGAATCCGAAATTAATAACACGACGATACTTCAATACACACGCGGAAAATTTCGGGAAGTCAATACATACGTGGGAATACACCAGATGTCGATACACCATCTTTGGGCCCGAAAGTTTCAAATCGTGCTTGTTGGGCCTAGATAGCCCAATGATATAATCTTTAGGCCCAAAGGAAACTCGCTTACATGTTGTTGGGTCTTATATGATCTAATTCCGTGTAAAAGGACTTTCAATGACTTTTGTGCTGTTGGGCCCCAAGGGTCCTTTGGTACTGCTAGTAAAGTCGAGAATTCACAAATGCGAGTTGGGCCAAGGGCCCTTCGCATTCACGATAGCCTTGAATGACTTATGGAAATATTGGGGGCTTCGCATCCTCTTTTCTCCTCGGTTGTGGGGCTATGGGAAGTCAGGGTGGTTGGATTAAGTGAATAGTACGGACGACGCTTAAGGGATCGTTTGTATAGTTGTAAACTAGTCGTTTTCATTAATGCGTGTTTATAACAATTCACAACCCATAATTAATCCGATGTCACCTGGAATTATCGAATACACACGTTGCAATCGGTATAGCAACCATATAAAATGCGTAATTCAAAGTATTAGGAAAACATCGGGTTTTCCTAGGGTTTTCAATTCATACACCTACGAGATGCATACCAAGTATAACAATTCTTTTTACATTTATAGAAACAAACAAGCATACTTACGGATCTTCACACTTTTTATACAATACTCTTTTTAGAAAATATCGGATTTTCTGGTGGTTTTCAAAACAATACAAAACATTATATTTCAAACATTACTTATGAAGTCACCAACATTTCATATGTTGACGTTTTTCAAAATGCTTGTATTCTCAGGTAACAGGTAAATCGGAGGGAAAAATGACTCAGTGATATCTTGTTGTTTGTTTAACTAGTATCGAACAATCTACTTTTTGGGAATGTAATGTTTTGGAACAATGTACTAAATGTAAACACTACCAGTTGTACTATTCCAATGCATGGTGATGAATGATGTTATGTTTCATGTAAATTCACTGTGATGGTATTCAATTAAGTCACAACAGCTCTCGGTGTGACAAATGTCATGTCACAACCACCCATTCACTACGTCATGGTGAGCGTCCAAAATAACTTAAATGGATTAAGCACTTTACCATTAATCTCTAGAGCTTAAAAGCTCATATATTATAGATCCAAAGGTCTTAATGGAGAAAGATTCTAACTTTACCCGATCTCATGTCTCAAATGCACTAAAAATCTAAACCTAATTTTAAAATGAGCCAAGACTCATGTTTGCCCTCAGGAGGAAGCATGCAAACACACCTTTCTTTCAGCACTTCATTCCATAAATCATTTGGGTTACTTAAAATGTCTTGGAGTTGCTCAACTCCAAGGATATCTCGAAAAGGGACTCAAAACCACCCAATAGATGCATAAACCTAGATCTAGAAAAAGCCAAGATCAATGTTACAACTTTATACCTCCTAAGGACATTAAATATGATATTGAAGCAAGATCAAGCCTAAAACAAGACTCCATTGCACCAAATGGAGTCCCTTATTCTTCAAGCTTCACCAAAACAAAAACAACAACTCAAGAATCAAGTACCGGGATAGAGTTTGAAAAAGCAACGTTCTTAGAGAAAAAGGGTTGCCAGATGAGGCAACCTTGAAAGTTAAAGCCCTTAATAGGGCTCAAGACCCGAAGTTTGGGGTTTTGAACCCCAACCGCCACCGTGTTGTGATGAGGACCCCGCCACTTATCAATGTGTCATGCGCCTTGGTCCGGTCCTTACCGTGCAGTTTGTGATAAAATCCTAAAAAGTAAAACCTCTACTTAGAAAGATAAAACACTTTTACCTGGAATATATGTTACATATATTTTCATACAGTTTTCATGCAACTATATGAACACTATCTCATAATCCTAAATCCTTAATTTATTCAAGACTCTGTCTATGTATATGTTGTTCATCTTTACTCCTAGATAATAAATAAATAAAACTCTTTGATTTTCTCATCGAAGTAAAGATTTCAACTAGAAGATTCTTATTTGAGTCCATAAATGAACTATTGACCTATTGACCATGTGGAAGATATAGTGGATAACCTATTGACCCATGTTCAAATCCTGGCACCACTCAGCCCTTGTGGCCATGGAGGTTCGCTTGCAGTGACTCCAGGGCATGAGGCAAAGCTTTATGTTTGCAGCGGGGGATTAGTCGGTGCGCGAAAGCTGGCCCGGAAACCCTCGTTAGGGAAGTTCCCTTTCCAAAAAAAAAATGAACTTATGAAGCTTACATATTCTAATTAAGATACTTATGATGTATATAACCCTCAGGTTGTGACATAAAAACAATATCGTAAAGCTTTCCATTTAAGAAAGAAATTTTTACATCCATTTTTTATATTTCATAATCATGAAATTTTGTTATGGAAATCAGTATCTTGATAAACTTTAATATGGTCATTGACGGATAAGTTTAATCTTAGTCTAGACCATGATTTTGCAAGTAACTCTTCGTCATCAGTCTAGCTTTATACTTATGTAACATGCCATGTATGTCATTCTATCCTTAAAGACCCATTTGCACCCAAGTATTTTTATAGTTATGTGATTGATCAATCAAGTACCATAATTTATTATCATACATGGATTGCATCTCTCTTTCTATAACATCTTATAGTTTGCATGCTTAGGGCATATCATGGATTCCCAATACATGGTAGGTTTATTTGGATCTACCATAAACTAATCACCATAAAAAATGAGTTAACCATCTATTTTCAATGCATGACCAGCTTTATCAAACATACAGACAAAAAGTGGGTTCGGGTTTAGGGTCCGCCCATGAATAGGGCCCACTAAATCATAAGGCCCCAAAAATATTTAGCATGTATATTAGTCTATTTCTAGTTTTAGGCCGAAATCAAATTAGGTTAACAATTGCTCTGTTATCAGGTATGTACGATGCAAGAGTAGGGAGTGAGTGGGAAATCTGAAACTTCAAGAAAAGAAAGAAAAAAAAACTCTTTGATTTCTTGTTTGCTGATTACACTTACACATGGGAAAAAAATTAGTGATGT